TTTTCTGGCTGGAATTTGGGTAACTCGGGAACTAAGAAAGCTGGGAACCTGGGATTTCGAGGGAATTTTCCCGTCAAAGTAATAATTAACTTCCCGAAATTCGAGGAATAGTATCTACAAGAGGTTTCTAGCTAGCGGAATTTCGAGTGATCTCATTGCAGCACGAAACACTGCAAAAACGCATGATCGCACGGGCCCCCCCCCGTGCGCGTCGCCAATGATTGCATCTTTGAACAGTTTGTTAGCTTGATGGTATTTTTCAATTGCCTCATCAGTGGTCTCAGTCAAGCATTGCGTTATCAACATACAAATTATCCCTTAATGCCTTGGCAAGGGGTTTTTGTTTTTATTCAAATGATGTATTACTGTGGCTAGGAGAAATGGACTACTTATAAACTCCGAACGGCACACGTTTAAATCTGTAGATGATAATGTTCTCCTGAGTTACTTGTTACTTTTTGTCTTGAGTCCATAGAAATCGCGTGACATCGCGATCATTTGGGTCAAGTTCTATTTGATGGAATGCCCTTTCAATGTCACTGACCATCACAATTGCTTATGTCCGAAAACGCAAGAGAATACTATAGAGTTGAGGCTGAAAATACAGGTCCGCAGAACAATGCTTCGTTGAGACTTTGCTGCTGTGCTTTTGCTATTGATGTCGCGTCGAACACGATGCGCAATTTTGTTTTCTTTTAGGGAGTGATTACTGGATTTTGTTATTTTCTTTTAGGGAATGATTACTGTGATAACTGGCATGTAATAAACTGGTCCATCTACTTTTCCATCGCAGGTTTCGATGATTCCCTTCTCAAGTTGCTCCTTGAACGTTTCATCGTATGTTTTGAAGAGTTCAGGATCCAGTTTCAGCCGTCGAGCGGTTGGTTTCAGCTTTCCAAGACTCAGAACATAGTTGTCCGTTAACGCATTCGATTCTGATTTGCAGGGCCACTTTACAGAATAGCGCCCTTCGTTGTATTGTACACTTTCTTCAAATTGTTTCATAACCAATTCATCATCGGTAATTTCGGGTAGATCTATAATCCCTATTGTTTCTAACCACCAGAATTCGTCTAAACTGATTTCTCTTTTCTTCGCTTTTTGCTTTGAGCAACATACTGTTTGAATGAGATTTGTCTCTTTCAATATTCCGTTTCCTCATATGATTGGCCCTACGCCGGTTTCAATAATTTTTAGTCCGAACTGAGTGTCGTGCAATGTCCAGGCTTGAAAAAATTCAGAAAAAATAATCATTCCCAATGAGAATATCTGGTTCAGCTCGTGAAGCGTTCACATTTCCGCTTTGGTTCATTGAAAGCTGCATTACCGATTGAGCTATGTTTCGTACTGTATTGACATGAAAGATTTCGCCGTGCTTCGTCCTTATCCCCACCTTTGTGAAAACCGATCTGATGCCAGTAGGTGTGTTTGACGTAAAAGTATTGATGGAAAGCCGCTCTTTCTGAAGACTTGGCAATTGCAGTTGACGATAAACCGCCTCGGTTATGAAGGAGCGCTGGCTTCCTGCATCAAATAT